TGTTTCCATTTATCTTCAGACAGAGTGAGAAGAGGAGAAGGAGATAGAGAAACATTGATGTGAGAGAGACACATTGCCTCCTGCACAACCCCGACCAGGGCAACCCCAACCTAGTCGCAACTGAGGTATGTGCCCTTGGCTGGAATCAAACCCGTGACTCTTCGGTCCACCAGTTAATGCTCTAACAGCTGAGCCAACAGGAAAGGGCTCACTTCTTTATTTTAAAACACTTTATAGGTTTGGGCAGTAAGACACTTCATCCAGGAAAGCAACTGTGATTGGCACCATCATCATCTGATCAAGTTTGCTACAACCCATAGTCATTTTCCAAGACCATTCATTGGCTTTTGAACCAAATAAACAAGTTAAATGGAAGTATAATAAAATAAAAAGTGTGTCTGTATCTTTCAAGTCTTTTATGTTGGCATTAATTTCTGTAATCCCCAGAAATGTGGTATTGCTTCTGGAATGTTATTTTAGCATGGAAGTTTGTAAGGGAGGGAGACAGTTCTAGGGGCTTCTACTGATATAGTACCATAAAAACCTTTATGCTAGAGGTCAGACTTCCAATATAAGGATTATGCCTGTTATTAAGTATATCCATTCCCAATATATATTCAAAACTGGGAAAATAACCACAAAATCATCTCACAGTACCGATGCATCCACTATGAGACAGAATCCAGACAAGACTCCCCATCTATCACTTCACTTCCATCAATCCTTAATACTGATTGGTGGATCATGGTGATGTTAGGGTCTTCAGGGATAAGTATCTGTTCAGAGCTAGAATCAGATAATTCTTCTGAAGGTGTATTGCCTTCCTCATTGCATGCTTACCCTGGTAAATACCCATAGTTCTGTAGTGAGGGCCTGAAGGAAAACACAGAGTATATCCTTGTGGCAGCACTACAAGTCCTATAAAAGGACACTTCCTCAATCTCAATTAAAGGGGTACAGATTTGTGGATTGGCTTAGGTCTGAGAACTTTATAAAAACTCTGAATCTTCAATATGGTGGCCCAAGTTGGGATTCGGCCCATCAGATAGAAATTTGCTACTTATAGATTGGTAGAAGAGGTGACTATACACCTCTTTCATTCTTGGGTACTTCAATTAGCATCACAGATCTCTATGAATTGAATCAAGCATTCTAGTTACTATTCTTCCCTACCATTTATTTTGGTAATTTTTCCACCACAACTTGAATGATTGTGCCAACACCTGGCCTCTACCATTCCAGGTTGCCACAATTCCTTTGAAATCAAGCAATTCAATTCCAAAAACATCTCCATCTACAATTATCTTCAGCTACAACAAACATTTTTACAGGAGTCCAGTTGTTAACACCTTGGTAATTAGAGGGTCCTCTGGCCCTCATTGAGGGCATAGATAAATGATAACTAAGTAGGTTGCACACTCTATTCCAACATCCCTACCTATTTCTCTGAGCCTTCAGATTTCTTCCCCAACAAAATGTCAGGGAACTTGCAGCATCTCTCTGCCATTAACTATAAAATCAAGTTCAAGCTAAAATTAACCAACCTAGTACATTGTTAATGCCATTGCTAAAGTGCTGGAGCCAACACATTAAAACCCAAATCTTGTATGAGTACAACTATATTGATAAGTCCAATATGATTTATTCTTATATTTTATCTTCCTTAATCTAACACTCTTAAAATCGCTTCCTCTACTTGCTTCACAGACTTTATGTGGTACAAATTGACAAGACAACCACAGCTTCTTCAGTGCATAGCACTTTTCACTTGGTGTTGGCTTCTGCTGGTCATTCGATCAACGTTTTCGCCTCCCCTTGACTGTAAGTTCCAGAACAGATTGTGAGTGCTATGGCACATCACTTCCCCATGCAGTCCATATTATGTACTCATTATTTGTTGAAAGAATGATTATAAGAGAAGAAAGTTTTATACTCCAATACTGAAAATATTTCTTGTACCTAAATATTGGCAAATAATAAGTACAAAATATATTTGTCAGAAAATTAATATAGCCAATATTATTTCACAAGTGAAAAATAAAAAGCCAGATAAAATTATAAACATTTAATGTCCATCATATTAGTTAAAGTTAAAAAACTAGAAAATATAGGGAAACAGTCATCTATGCTGGTAGTGAGCATAAAACTGTAATTTTTTTTTTAGAAGACAATTTGATAATATTCATGAAACTTTCACAAAATAAATCAACACCGACACATTTCTACATTTAGACATTTATTTTAAGGTAATTATGCAAGTACACAAATAGCTAAGATGGTCATAACTTCTTTTATAATAGTGAGAATTAGAAACAAAATATCCATCAATAAAGGTCTGATTAAGTAAATCATGGCATACAGAATGCTATATAACAGTTACAAATAATGAAGTATAACTATTTATATGAAAGGTTGTCCATGACCAAATCTAAGTGAAAAAGTTAACAAATAGTATATATAGCGTGACCTCCTTTATGCTACAGTGTGTGTGTGTGTGTGTGTGTGTGTGTGTGTGCACAAGTGTCTAACTGTATTATTGAAAAATATGTACCAACATATTAACACTGGTTATCTCAGATTGTAGGACAGGGTTATTTATATTTTCTTTTTGGTAACTTTTTTGTTATAACCAAATTATTTGAAATAATTATAATATTATTACTATAATGTAGTTATTTCTACTGTAAAGAAAAAATTTTAAATGATTTTGCCACAGTGAGATGTTACTTTACACCTGCAAAGGCTATCAGTAAATCCACAAAAAATGTTGGAGCGAATATGGAGGGAAAAAAACCTTGTGTACTGTTGATGGGAATACAGATTGGTGCAGCCACCATGGAAAATAGTATGGAAAGTTCTCAAAAAACTAAAAATGGAACTGCTCATTGATTCTACTTCTGGACATATATCTAAAGAAACCAAAATCAATAAAATAAAAAAAAATGCACCCTTATGTTCACTGCAGCATTATTTACAATAGCCAGGATATGGAAGCAATCCAACTGCTCATCAATAGGTGATTGGATAAAAAACGTTGTGGTACATATACAATGAAATATTACTTGGCCATAAAAAAAAAAAAAGAATGAAATCTTACAATTTGTGACAGCATAGATGGACCAAGAGGGTATTATGCTAAGTAAAATGAGTCAGTCAGAGGAAGACATACCATATAATTTCACTTATATATAGACTCTAAAGGACAAAATAAATGAACAAAAAAATTGAAACAGACTTATAGACACAGAGAACAGACTGGTGGTTGCCAGAGGGGAGTGGGGTTGGAGGTCTGGGTGAAAAAGGTGAAGGGATTAAGAAATACAAATTGGTAGTTACAAAGTAGTCATGGAGATATAAAATACAGCATAGCGAATATAGTCAGTAATATTGTAATAACTGTGTATGGTGTCAGGTAGGTACTGGGAATATCAAGAGGAACACTTTGTCAAGTATATGATTGTCTAATTACTCTGCTGTAACCTGCAACTAATACAAAATAATACTGAATATAAATTATAATTGAAAAATAAATTTTAAATAATTTTAAATTGTTTTGGACTTCTTTGACCTAATCTGATTTAACTTATTAAATTAGTCCTTCATTACTTTAAATGCCATGTCTTTCAAAATGGACAATCAAAAAGATATTTCTATGAAAGACTTAGTCCCTTTCAGAGTAGAAAAGTAGAAAGTACATCAAAATGTGAAAGTTAAAATAAAAAGTATATAAAAACATAGTCAAGGAGAGTTATATTGAGGTATACAATAAGAGTAAACAAGTAAAGTCTTAGAAATATTAATAAAATTAATGTATCATAACCAATGTAGAAAACGATTTAAAGGAGAGAAAATTATTTACTAAAAAAATCAGCTCTCCGTCGGCCTGCGGTCCGGAGAGACCCGGGTTCGGTTCCCGCTAAGGGCACGTACTTTGGTTGCAGTTTGTCCCCGGCCTTGGTTGGTCGTGCTGGTGGCAGCCACTCGATGTGTCCCTTCACGCCGATGTTTCTCTCTCTCTCTCCCTCCCACTCTATCTGTACCAAAAAAATGGAAAAAATATCCTCGGGTGAGGATTAAAAAAAAAAAAAAAAAAAAATCAGCTCTAAGTGAGAAGATGGTACATGATACCTTAATGTTAGAAATTATACTATATTATAAAGGAGGAATAATCAAGAGAGTTCCCTCACTAAAAAAGAATAAAAAATTTCATTCTTGAAATTTATTATCTAATATTTTATTTTTAATAAAAAGCAAGAGGAAGTCTCTATAATATTCTGAGTAATAAAATTAATAAATCAAACACTTCTTTTTTTTTTTTTTGGTGGTACATGCCCCTAGCAGGAACCAAACCCGGGACTCTCTGGTCCACAGGCCGACGCTCAACCGCTGAGTCAAATTGGCCAGGGCTAAATCAAGTACTTTTTTAAAGGATGCAAGAGTTACTGGGAAACTCAAAGCAAAGATACTGTATACTTTAGTCACCTAGTTCTTCAATGTCTAGCAAATGAGTGTGAAATCATCAAGGAAAAATAAAAACAAGAAGTATTCTTTCCAAAAAAAAAGAAAAACAGGATAATCAATTCTCTCCTGAAGTTCACAGCAGTATTTGGAATATATTTTTCAAGACATGTATAAAAAATTCTTTAATTTTCTTTCTCACAGATTCTCCTGTTTTATGTGTTGTAATTACAATTCAGTAAAGAAATTCTTGTCCTGACGAAAGCTTTCTGCTAGGGGGAGGGGGGGCTGGAAGAAACCAATTTTCTATTAGTTTGAGAGCCTGAATTTACATAGCAAACAAACACAAATATCCCCAAAGCCCAGTTCAGGAGATCTACAAATATTAATCCACTAACCAATGGTCACACAGTGAATATTCTTTGAGGAGTTATAACTGCTATCCCAAAGTTAATAGTTTTGAATATTACATTTATATTCACAGAGAAAGGAGTTGAGTTCAGCTGTATTTTACAACATTCATTTTATTAAAATAGCTATACCTGGTTCTGCTGCAGGTGAGCTCTGTTTCCCGTTGTTGCCATGCCGCCCATTTCTCCACTCATTTAAAACTTCCTGGAAGGACTGAGCAGAAGCTTCTTCATCGAATGACCCTTCATGCAAGAGCCTGTGTGTCGGGTTTGTACATTCCCCTTCTTGTGCTGTTGAAATTTCCATCTAAACCAATTAAAAATGTCTCTAAATATGTTTTACTAAATTGTCTGTGTCCTAAAATGCAGCAGCATTAATTGTTAGGCATTTTAAGTCACACATTTTTAAAACTTAGCATGTTTTAAAGTTGTACTTATTTGTATGTTTTACTGATTTCTTTAAAACCGTATCTGCAATTATAAATGGTCTCTTCAGAAATTAAAACTGGATCCTACCAGACCAGGGATTTGTCCTCATGTTATTCACTAGTATTTTCCCTAGAAAGTGACGACAGCCTTGTATGTGACCCTCCTGCTCCTGCAACCTCCCCACAGCAGAAAGAGCAGGTGCATAACATGCAAATCTGATCACGTCAGGCCTCTGTTCAACACCCTCCAGTGACTCTCTACAAAGCCCCAGATTCTACTAGGACTTCCAGGGGCCTACACAACCTTGTACTTCTACTTCATTTCCTTCCGTTCTCCCCTAGGACCCACCCTGCTCCAGCCACACTTATGTTCTTGCAGGTCTGGGAACCCACGGAGCACATTCCCGCATGAGGGCTTTGCACTAGCTGCATCCAATGCCTGGACCGGTCCTTCTCCACAGCACCACGCAGCCGTTCCGCTCACTTCATTCAGTCTGCTCAAACGCAGGTGAGGACCCTGCTGATGACCCTACAAATATAGACTCTTTCCCCCATCACCTTCTAACCCCTTATCTGCTTTATTTTTCTCAATAAAACTTCTTTGTGTGAATTTACTCTACATGTTATTTGTTTATTGTCTCTCTCTCTCACCCCATTAGGATGCAATGAACTCAGGGAATATTTTCCCCTTCAGTGCCAAGAGCTGTGCCTATAACAAAGTTAGATGAATGAATGAATGCATGCATGAATGAATGAATGAATATGAAACATTGCATGTTTCTTAACATAATGATGGGGAAAGGATGAATTCAGTACAAAATATAAATCCACTGTGAACACACAAAAGGTAGGATTTGGTAGTTATCCACTGAATCAGAGAGAACATCCAAATCAGGAAATCAACACAAAATAAATTCCACACCAATGTTAAATTATCAGATGTGGATTACCTATACTAATATAAAATTGTTAAATCTCCATTGTGTGTATTCTAGATACAAAAGTAGAATCCTTTATGTTCAGTCTTTAATTGCAAAATAAACTGGCAGATTGTTAGAGTACAATTGAGAGGAGATTGTTAAATAAATGTATAAAATTTAAATATAAAGAAAAAGCATCTGGGAACCTGTCAGACACTGTGCTAGCTGTTGGCCACAGAACCACAGGTTAATACGTCCACAACAGAAACAGGTGCACGAGCAGGTATTTAACTCAGATAAACAACAGTTCTATGGGCAGGGGCCGGATTCCAGAGGGAGGGAATGATACACAGACTAAGACTGGGAGCCAAAAGCACAGCGGCATGAAACTGGACATAGTTTATATCGTTATAGTGAAAGTGGGAAAAAGTATAAAGGGGGGGAAAGACAAATGGGGCAGATCATGAAGCATCCTGTCTGCCATACTGAGAAAATTAGACTTAAACTTCGTGGCAACACAAAGCCACTGAAGAGTGCCACACAGTCATGTGGAAAAGAGAGAAACTGGGGGTACAGTGAGTTTGGATGCAAGGAAACCAATGAAATTGTTACAGCCATTTGGCAATATCAACATTACAAGTGCATTACGCACTCAGGAATTTCAGGAAGTCATTATGTACATATACACATATATGCAAAACAACATTTTCCCAAACATTCTTTATACTATGGTTTGGTTGCAAAAGATTGAAAAGGGGTAAATGTTGGTCAGCAGAAAAGAGATTTATAAAAGCCCATTATATGGAGTATTTTATGGCCACTGTACAGAGAAAGAAGGTTCTAGAATGTACTGCTATAGATATCAAAATATTTTGTTAAGTATAAAAAATATGTTTGCAGGGCAGAATGCAAAGTATATTAATATTGGTTTCAATAAATACTTACATACAAAATTGAAAATATTATTGATTCTTGGAAGAGAAAGACTGGAATGAAATATGCTCTCTAAACATTTTGGACTTTAACAAAAAATTAATTTTAGTATTTGGAATAACAATAAGAATAGAAATGCACAAACATTCAAGAGGGATTTTCGATGGTAGACTGCACCGGACATGGTAGCAGGCTGGATGTGCAGAGGCAGGAGGGAAAGGACCATAGGAAGTAACTGTTCTTGCCGGCCTGGGGAGCTGAAGATCGGCTGACAACAATACTAACATCTATGGGTTTGGGAGGAGAAGTAATGAATTCCGTTTGAAAATATTGAGTTTCAGAAGTATGTGGGAAGGTAATTACAGGGCTCCAGTAGGCAATGTGTGAGTGTGTGCGTGTGTAGATACGTACACTGCACTAATGAAGAAGCATTGAAAACTCAGTGCAGAGGTTTGTGTGCAGTGACTGCAGCAGCTCCCCAGGGCAGCTCCTTTCCAAGCAACAGAGATATAAGGCATTTGCATGTTACAGCTCTGCCTTTGGAGTATTTGGCTTCCGCATAGTGGTGTCAGGATAGAAAAAAGCCAGCAGATTGCACATCGGCTGTGTAGTGCTTCAGCCAAGATCTGTCATATGTCACTCCACTCAGAGCCCAACATGACCCTGCCCAATATTAAAAGGTCTAGAGAATCTAAAGAATCAATGTTGTACATTCATTACCCCTCTGGGCCACACAATAGCCTTGCAAGAAAAATTTATCTCCACTCCTCCCCCACCAAATATACATATATATACGCACTTTCCAAGAGAGGAAACAGAGAATCTAACAGGCTAAGTAAATTGCTTGTTGTTATAAACGCTATAAGAAAATCAGGGGCAGTATTTCAAACCCAGATTTCAGTCTCTAAAATAAAAGCTCTTTCAAGAACTGTACCCCTTCCTAAGAATGTCCAGTGGCCTGAATCCGTAAGAAAGACCCTAAGACAGATAGAGTAAGCATTAGCACCATTTTGACTCTTCCAGGCTTTGAAATTGCTTGTTAAATTAATTAAAAATCAGATTCCTGGCCCTGGTCCTGGCCAGTTTGGCTCAGTGGGTAGCCCACGGACCAGAGTGTCCTGGGTTCAGTTCCCTCTAAGGGCACGTACCTTTGTTGCAGTTTGTCCCCGGCCCTGGTTGGGGTCATTTGGGTAGCAGCCAGTCGATGTTCTTCTCTCACATCGATGTTTCTCTCTCTCTCTCTCTCTCTCTCTCTCTCCCCCCCTCCCTCCCTCCCTCCCTCCTTCCTCCCTCCAGCTCTATCTAAAGATAAATGCAAAAATATCCTCAGGTGAGGATAAAATAAATAAATAAATAAAAATCAGGTTCCTGGACTCTAACCCAGATGTAAAAAAAAAAAAAAAAAATTGAGTGGCAGACCAGGAATGTACACCCAGAGCTTCTGATGTTATCACAGCTTCAGAACCACCGTTCTTCCGCACAGAGAGGGCCCAGCACAGGGGGGTATCTCTTCGGTGCGTGCACTGCAGACAGGTCGCACCTGAGGCTCGACAGTGACTCCCAGCCAGGAATTCTCACCAGAATCACTCACCAGTTGCTAAGACCACACATGTCTGGACCCTACCCACAGAGATGCTGAAATCAGTTATATGTTTCTTTAATGTTTAATTTACTTAGCCTGTTAGATTCTCTGTTTCCTCTCTAGGAAAGTGCGTATATAACTAAACGTTCTTATGTTAAGACAAGAGGTGGAGGATCTATACAGCAGTTACCTATGTGGACAAGAGGCAGTATTTAATGTAGGGATTAGAAGAAGCTCAGAAAAAGAAATAAGTTCTATAGCTTTTTAGTAGGGCTACAAACTTAAGCCCCCACTGTCCTCACCTGTTAAATGGGGTAATAATAATGCAAAACTTATATGATTATTGTGATTACTGAGTAAGATAAGAGAGGTTAATAATTAAGCACAATGCCTAGTATCAGGTGTTTAATAAATGTTAGCTGTTGATTTATCACTATCATTGCCGATGGGATAAATTAGATAAAGTGGCAGGCATGAAGGAAAAACCTTAAAACCACAGTCTCTGAGTAGCGGTTAAAAGCAAGTAATTTGGAATCAAAATATCTGGGTTCAAATGTAAGTTCCACTGCCAGTAATGCCTTGGGCAATTTATAAAAACTGTTTTTTGCCACTGGTTTCTTATCTGGAAAATAAATAAATAATTAAGAAAAGACAGAAATGGAAGTTACATGTCCATATTTCGGAGTGTCGGGCACTGCGGTCTTTGGTACGTTACTATTGTAATTATGAGGCCCGGCCACTCTCGGTGGTTCCTCACCAACACCGTGGCAGGTCTATTAGAACACACACCCGCCCTGGCCGGTTTGGCTCAGCGGTTAGAGCAAGAGAGACCCAGGTTCAGTTCCCTCCGCTGCAGTTTGTCTGCGGCCCTGGCTGGGTCGTGCGGGTGGCGGCTACTCGATGTGTCCCTTTCAGGTTGATGTTTCTCTCTCTCTCTCCATCCTGCTCTATTTGAATAAAATATGGGAAAATGTCCTTGGGTGAGGATTAAAAAAAAAAAAAATAGAACACAGACCCATGTGAATTTGCTGACCTTCCTGGGCAACCCAAGCTAGTCCCTCTGCTGTAAAGAGGCCCTACTAGCACAGCACACGCTTTCTCGTATGTCCTCTGAGCATGGGTTTGGAACTCAACAGACTGATGAAGTTCAAGCCTCCTTCTGTCACCAGGTCACACGCTGTGTGACTCTGGCCAAGCTGTGCACTGTTTCTGAACTGCAGTGAGGTGTGTGGCATCCAAAGGAATGAGGATTATTACATAAGTCAAAATCTGACGCAGTTTGTGTTTTGCTAAAAAATCAATGCAACAAGGCTATTATAAAAATAGGGACAGGAGTTGATGAAACTTATCTAGCACACCAATGGGATCAATAATTGATCTCAATAACCACCAGCATTTGGTATAAATCTGACTTTTAAAAACTGTGAGATTAACTGTCACCTAAAACACCTGGCAAGGTTTTTTATTTTTAGCTTCTCTGAAGTCCTGATTAATACAAAATCATTATATTGCATTGTGTTATCTATTTTTATGTTCCTCCCAAATACTCATTCACTTCCTAACATGGTAGAAATGCCCAGAAAGTCACATAGTTCAATGATCAATCATCAAAAAATCAGTGTGCAGTGAAGTCAAAGCAATATGCTTAAAGGGATTTGAATAGTCAAGATGTTTTTGATTAATAAAAACAAATTTATATTAAACAATGTGACAAAATAATCTGCAGACTCTACAGCTCTAGTTAAGTGTATGCATGACAGTCTCCATGACCATGTATGACAGAGAATGTGTCCTATGTTTCCCTCAGCTTACCTCAGGGCTGGTGTCCGGCAGAGGAGATTTGGGTTTATGCTGACTTTCAATAATCTCTTTTGTAGAGTGATTCTTCCTTTTGGGTTCATCTGGATTAACTTCCTTTATAAACCGATGGGCAACATCCAATATATTAGATAATATTTGCGATTTTGCCTATTAAAAAACAAACAAACATATAACTAAAAAGCCTAATATATAAGTTTAGGTAATTTAGATACATTGAATCATATTTCATTATTCTATAACGACTAAGTTCAATGTATTTTATTCAATATTTAAAAATACATATTGACATTTATATCAACCAATACAATAGTGACTAGCTGCCAATGTTTTGAGGGGCTAGTTTGGGCTCATGCTATCTTAAGTATCTTAAAAAGATGTTATTGAATCTTAAAGTCAACTTTAAAGCATACCAATTTTCATCTCTGTTCCAGGGATAAAGAAACAAATGCTCTGAGTGTTTAACTAAATTGCCCTTTGTCACACGGGGAGTGGGTGGCAGAGCTGGGAAGTGACCCCAGGTGCACACAATTCTAATGCACATGGCCTTTCCACCAGGTCAACCCCAAATAAACAGAGGTGGTGTTTTATGCACACACGACTAGCGAACTAAATGCAGCTAATCGAGTAGGAGTCTGAATAAGAAGTAATACGTAGTCCTTGGTGACGAATATCTTTAGAAAGTACTATTTCAAAGTGCAGATCAGGAAGTGTGTGCACCGGCAGCGCCCCAGGGCACTCCAAGCCTCTCCTCACGTCGTCAGTGCTCCTGAGCTTTGCTGCCAGGAAGGCCCTCCATCCTCCACTGTCTTCTTCACCTGCAGACTTCTACTCCTTCCAGATTTGTCCCAAGTTACTTCTGCTTGGAGGACCCTTTCCCAGCCTTCCTTCCCCAGCTGTGTGAGGTGCCCATTGTCTGTACCCTCTTCCTGCCCTGCAGAGGTCTCTACAAACCCTTACAATATTGATTTTACATTTCTTTGGGTGTCCATCTATCCCATGATACCATATAAGCTCACAGAATAAAAAAAATCAAGCCTTCTTAAGTCTTTGTATGGCCACCACTATGCCTGGAAAATAACACATGGCACAAATCAGGTGTGAGGAGGAGGGAGCAGGACTCCAGAATTAAAATAAATGAGAAAAATAATTCAAATAACCTTTCCATGTACCTTCCTCAGAGTGGCTGAAAAGGAACAGGCACATCTCAGGAAGGCCCTGTTCTCTGAGCAGTCTCCTACAAGAACTACGCTGGTCTGCCCAGGCCACTGCGGGATTCCGAGCGCCACCTGAGCTTGGACCAGTAAAGCCCAAGGGGCAGATGCGGCCCTTCAGAGGCTCTCGGAGAACCTGGCACTAGGAACAAAAGCAGCAGGTCTCACTTATTAGTTATTATTTTACTTTTCCCATCACCATTTACCCCCTCTATGCCATCTTCCACCCCGACCCACAAGCACCACATTGTTGTCCATGAGTTCTCTTTTTTTCCTTATTGCTCATCCCTCCAGCCCCGCCCTCACCCCTCACTGCTCTGAGCTGTCTGCCTGCTCTCTGTCTATGAGTCTGTCTCTATGTTGCTTAGTAGTTCAGTTTGTTCATTAAATTCCACATAAGAGTGAAATCACGTGCTACTTGTCTTTCTCTGACCGGCTTATTTTACTTAGCATGATGCTTTCCAGGTCCTCCATGCTGTCGGTCTTACTTATCAGCAAATGTCCTTAAGACAGAGGAAACTCCAGCAGGGATCAGAAATAATTATGTTGTACTCTCCCAGGGAAATGGCCTATTTTACTGATTTTAGACAGAGAGGAAGGGAAAGGGAGAAAGAGAAAGAAACATCAATGTGAGAGAGAAACATCCCATAACCCATAAACATCCCAATGTGCTCTGACCGGGAATTGAACCAGCAACCTTTTGGTGCATGGACAATGCTCAACCAACTGAGTCACACTGGCCAGGGTGGAAATTGTCCTATTTTAAAATTTTCATCTAGTCACCTACTTAAAGAGCTACAATTACATACTTTCCAGTATGATCTTTCGTAAATTTAAGATTCAACCTGACTCTGGAACTAATCAGTGAACATCAAATTAACTGGTGTTACTTTACACTGAATTAATAAACTATATATGCAAAATGACTAATGGTGACCTATGCAACTACATTGCTGTGCACATACGGATCTATGGCATTGCTCCAGGTTTCTCAATGATCATTACAAAGCCCATTTAGACCTATGCAGCCCTTTTAAAAAAAGAAATTCACAATTATAGTACAGTATTATTGTGCATATTCATTATAGTGTTCATTAGGTCTCTATAGCTTCTTTATTACTCGTCGTACTTAATACTGCTGAACTACTCATGTAAAAATGCTTATGATGAAAACATTAATGTTATCTCTTTTTTACCACAATTTTTTTTTTGTTTTTTTTATCATCCTCACCTGAGGACATTTTTCCATTTTTTGTTCAGGTAGAGTGGGAGGGAGAGAGAGGAACAGAGAGAGAGAGAAAAACATTGATGTGAAAGGGACACATCGAGTGGTCGCCACCCGCACAACCAACCAGGGCCGGGGACAAACTGCAGCCGAGATACGTGCCCTTAGCAGGAATTGAACCCGGGTCTCTCCGGACCGCAGGCCGACGCTCCAACCGCTGAGCCAAACTGGCCAGGGCTTTACCACAATTTTTAAACAATGAACACACAGAAATAATGAGTGCATTTTATTGTTTATAAAGTAAAGTTAAATACAGTTGCTTTAAGAAGAAAAAAATTAAAAGAAGACAAAAGAAAATCAAGCCAATGGTAATGCTTTATCCTTCCAGAAATAACTATTTTAGTAAATATTTTTTAAACATAATGATCCAGCCCTGGCCAGTTTGGCTCAGCAGTTAGAGCATTGGCCTGCAGTCCAGAGAGACCTGGGTTCATTTCCCGCTAAGGGCATGTACCTCAGCTGCAGTTTGTCCCCCGCCCTGGTTGGGTCGTGTGGGTGGCAATCACTCGATGTGTCACTTTCACATTGATGTTTCTCTCTCTCTCTCCCTCCCACTCTAGCTGAACAAAAAAAACGAAAAAATGTCCTCGGGTGAAGATAAAAAATAAATAAATGAATAAATAAACATAATGACCCAATTGAAGCTTGATTTTAAATTTCCTAGAATAAAAGCCTGTTGATTTCAAAGGGGGTTAGAATATCTAGTTTTCATTTTATCAAATATCAAAATAAAAAACAATGGTATTAATTTTATATTAAATCATCACAACAGAATTATCATTCAAGTACAAATGTTTATTTAACACAAAATAAAGATTATTCCTGTCCTACAGTGAATCTTTCTATCAGTTACAATAATTTTTAGATTGAATATTTAAATGTTACTTTGCTCAGTTTTAAAAGTGTATATATATATACTTTATTTTTCTTTTCCTTAAAACAATCATTCCAGGAAAGGAAACAGATACTTCGATCACCATTACTTACACAAGGAAATGGAAGCTCATGAACCTAAAGTGAAAACCAATGGATACAAGAGGCCAGGGCTGGATTTAGAACCAAGGGTTTCCTTCTTCCAGCCTAATCTTCTTCCCTACTGAGTCATACTAACACAAAAAATTTGCCTGACTTATGATTTCTTGAAACTAAGATAATTAATTTTTTTTTAAATTTGTCGTTGGTTTATGTTCAGGTTTATTTTCAGATTGACTAGCACACTGAAGGAAGGAACAGAGATTCTCCTTTTGCTCATCTTTTCTGTCGTGTACATATTTGGGCAGGGTTGGGGGCAATAATCCTCGAAAAAAATAAAACTTTTGAACAACAAAGTTAAATGTATTCTATAAAAGTAGAATTACAGAACAAACTTAAACCCTCTATTTCTTAACTAAGAGGTGTATAATTTAACAGAACCAATAAGATTAGAAATTCACTACAGTACTATAACATGCTATTTGACAATATTTAAAAGTTCCTAGATATGTGAAAAATATATCACGCATGGTAATAGTTCGTAGCTTCCTGTTCTCCAAACCCAATCTCCCATACTCATGCCAAAGAAGAATTGACAACTACTTGCTAGATACTCACATCTCTCCACCCTGGGAAATGCTCCCCTGGAACCTGATGGGGCTCTGTGATAGTTCACTGAATGTGGGAAGTCGTCATGAGTTTCCCTTGCAATGGCAAGGTGGTAAGAAACGGATGTGCCTTCTCCACCCTTTGTACTGTATGGTGTATGGTAACCCTGGAAGTAACATATCGAATACAGTGAATGCTACAGGTAAAGTCACCAAATCATTGCCTAAAAGGGAAGATGTCTTAGGAACATCCATGTTAAACTCTTAGGTGAGAAAAAAGTAAACTTTTACTGTTTTAAGACATTGAGATTTAGGGGTGCCTTTACTGTAGCAAGCATATTTGGAAACGACCCGTAACTGTGAATTGTTTGAACTAGCAAAAAAAAAAAAAAAAAAAAAATTGTTTTAAAAAGGTGTTTCCCATCAATAATGTACATAAGTAGATTATTTCCATGTCTTGCCAGTTTTCCTCTCTACTTGGAAAGGCAAGTGTTCCTATTATAATTCTATTTATCATTTAGGCCCAGATCAAATGTTATCCAGATCCAATGTATATCCAATGGCATTATAAAAAGTAGCTTAAAGGGGCAAATTGTTTAATCTCTCTGAAACAGTTTTCTTTCTCAACTAACTGCAGCAAAATTGACTATTTTCTCTGTGCTCTTATAAATCCTTGCTTACATTGATACTAGACCTTTGCTGCTCAGTGTGTGATCCATAAATCAACAGCATGACCGTCACCTAGAAACTTCCTAAAAAGACACAATGTCAGGTTTCACTCAGACTCACTGAATCGGAGTCTGCAGTCCGACAGGGGCCTTGAATACACATTCAGTCTTCAGCATCACTGTGTCAAAACACTTATCAGTCAGTTGTGCTGCAAATGGTTGAATACAGCTGTCTTCCCTTTTGTGATGATGAATTCCTTGAGAAAAGGAACCATGTCTTATTCTGCCTCATATACAATGTTTTACATCACCCTCCTTCGATTCTCCCCTGCAGCCCTGTCCTTCACACTTTGAAACTTGAACATTACTTAACACCAGTTAAATACTTGAGAAATGCTGGTTG